AAGTTTACTTATTAGCTATCAAAAAATTATCGTTTGTATTAGAATTCAGTCCGAAGAGAAATTAGAATACTTCCATGAATAATTACATGCAAAATTTTTATGCATTTAATAATTTAAACTCTATATCTAATACAAATCTCGCTTTTTACAATAACATAATATTTTCTTTTATGTATAAATATAATTTAAACAAATTATGCATGAATTTTTTTTTACATGAATTTTTAATTTTTTATTTGATTCTTAAGGCTTTAAAATAAAGAGAGCTAAAAAATAAGAAAAGTGTTAAAAATGTTGAGTTTTATATAATCAGCGCACTTTGTTACTTGATTTCATGTCAGTACATAAATACAAATATAATTCAAGTCTACTATCTCTACCAAAGATACTAATGCGACATCCCTGATGTATGAAATAATAACAATATCTTTAAAAGGGGCACTGACACCTACCAAGCTCGTCTACGTGGGCGATCAGCAACGTCGCCATGATGAGAAGATGATCGATGTGATCGATGTGGACACGGTCGTAGTTAGGTTGCCTCGTGGAACATACGGAGATGATACTAGTGAACTATAAGTGTAAATGAATATTAATATCTTTGATATTATAATTTCTATAAATGTGTCTCTTAATGCATATAGATCTATAGTTAAATCCTTAGTTATTTAATTATGAATTTGTGATTTTAGAAGAATAGCAATAATAACAATAATACGAATTCTCTAATATAACTTGTTCAACACTTTGCGTTACAAATAAGAACAAACTCTCGAATTTTATTATAGTAGATGAGCACATTGTTTTTACAGTAAAAAATAAGTGGCATCGTTTAAAAATATATTACACCAAATTAATATAAGCAAATAATATAGATATTGTTCTCCCATTCAATGAATGATTGCCATGCGATCAAAACAAACTTTTCCCCACATTTATGAGTCATCAAAGGAAATAAATGAAATCATTCATCTTGTAAGACACGGGCAAAACTCATTTACGCGGGGAGCGAATATAAAAGTACAGCATAAAATATTTGTCTTCCAAAAAAGTAAAATCTTATCTCTGGTAGCACGAAAAAATCTAGGAAATAACAATACGAGTTTCAAATTGCTTTGTTTGAAGGAAGGGCTAAGGAATTTAGTATAATTGATTATTATTATTATTATTATTATTATTATTATTATTATTATTATACATGTACTGTATACTAATACGCTGCTGCATTAGTTATTTATACGTGTTACACAGTACATATACACGTACATGTATTTTGCACCAACGAGATGCATACCGATACGTTCATGTAGCAGCTAGTGTTACATATCTTCATTGACGTAATGTTTAGAAAATAAGTTCGGTCATTGTTAAACATACGCTATTTTTATTCTTAATCGAATATAGGAATTACATGTTCATGTATAACTTAATCCAATCGCTATTATGCATATTTACATGCGTGATTTAAGCTCGCTTATCGAGCAGGTGATATTAGAATGTTACATGTACCACTTCAAAGTGGTATATAACTAGCCATCGCAAACCATCTTCAAAACTATCTAACCAAACAGACAAAGAAATAAATAAATCAAAAAATAACACTTATCTTGTAAAAAGTGAAACCGCCTTAATACTTATTTATTCATTCCACATTACAGAGCAGGAAATATAATTTCAACACATACATATACACAAAAACATAGTATTTAAATTATAAACATTAGAAATGGGCTCACGTCACTCTCGCCACGAACAAGCACGATTCTCATTCGCAAGAAATGGATCTCCACGTAAATCTTACGATTCTGATCGTAGAAAATCCGCTGAAGAGAAAGTTAATGGACGAGACCACGCATACCGGCAAGAAAATCCAAAATTCACAATCCCGGAAAACACGCAAGGAATCCCGCGCTTAGAAGTTCAACATTACCTTATGCGATACCTTTATCAAGGGAACTTTTCTTCGCCGCGAGGCGCGCTCAACGCTGAAGGTAGTCGCATTCTTGATCTTGGATGCGGCGCTGGCACATGGGCGATAGAAGTCGCTAAAGAATTTCCCAACTGTGAAGTGACGGGTGTCGACATCTCCGCTTACTTCCCAATTAATCATGACACGCCGAACGTTAAGTTCCTCGAGCACAATTTCCAGGAGTGTAATCGGCTACCATTTGACGACAATACTTTCGATCTCGTCCACATGAGATTCTTGTTAGCGGACGTGAAAGAGAGAGATATTGAGAACGCATTGATCCCAGAACTTGTACGTGTGACTAAACCGAATGGCTGGATCGAGCTACTCGAATTTGATATCCAACATTTCAGTGATGGACCTACCACCCGTCGTTTAACCAATGCCTGTAAGTGTTCACGATTCACCGATCTTTTTTTTCTTTCCTAAATAATCATTTTTTTTTCCAAACAAATCTTCTTACGATTTTTGACTTTTCTTCTTCCTCCTCTTGTAGTAATGCGACATTTACAATCGAACGGCTACAACGGTCAAATAAGTGACAAACTCCCACAATATCTAAAGAAAACGCAGCAAATAGACGTGGTCAACCAATATGATAAAGCGATAACGTTAGGACGCTGGGCAGGCAAGGTCGGCGAATTGGCGATCGATGACATCTCGAGACTATTCAGTGATAACAAGGAACTTTCACGCTCGATGGGAATCACCGATGAAGAATACCAAAAACTCATCGAAGCATACAAACAAGAAGTGGAAACTAAGCGAACCTTCTTCCGAACTCACCGATTCTACGCACAAAAAATCGAGAAAGCACCACAACCAAAAAGCCCTACTATTGTATCGTACAACCATAAAGTTTAAGTAAACTTTATTTATGTGTCACCTGCTCACCAAATAAAATGGACAATTTTAGTTTTAGTATTTTAAAATATGTATATTTTCCTTAGATTCTTCATCCTTCTTACATTCTACTTATATATTAGACTCTAAATTTAATTCTCCACTTGTACCCATACAAACAATTCCTTCTTGTATATCTTAATCTTACATACACTCATACAATAATTTGATTTTCTAATTTCTAACTTAGCATTCTATTTATTTATTTATTTAGACCATTTATTGCATATATGTATCATCATCATAATATAATACTGAACGAATAAAATTTTTTTATAAATCATAATTTCTAATTCACTTAACAATAAATCTATGAACAATATCTAGCGTTAATAAAATAAAAAATTTTAAATAACTAAATCTGTAACCAATATCTAATGAAATAAAAAATTTTAAATAACTAAGACATAAAATAAAAATATTAGCTTATATTGTAGTTAAGATAATTTATAATTTATAATTAATAAAGGTAACGACAGCGCGGAATAAAGATATACGTACTATCCTTTGTATTCTTTTACTATTTTGAGATACCTATATTCTTTTAAACACATTCAAAATAATATGGATTATTAAAATACTGCTCACACGTTTTCTGATTACTTGCGATTTGCGATAATTCAGGAAGAAAAGGTGGTGGTGTTATAAAAAATTTTTTAGCCAAATTGTAGTCAGGTCAAAAAGCCATCGTATGTCAAACAATTTTGTACATGTGACACCTTCCTGGTTGGTATGACATTGCAAAGTTGATGGTTTATGTTGATAAAATCAAAATAAGAATGATTGAATTCAAGTTCGTGCATTGTAATGAGTTTAGTTAATATATGTACCGTTACTTCCTCTATTATTGTGAACTTAAAACAATTTTAAGTTTGTTCAGTATATTTATAGAATAATACTATTAACTATATTTAATTTAAAGAATATTGAGACCTTATATTAGATTAATTATATAAACCCAAATGCATCCATAAAAGAGCTCTACTTGCTAAGGCATAGCCAGGAGAGCAGAATTCAAAGGCAAGCCATGGAACTAAAGGGTCTCTTTGATAATAAAAACTAGAAAATTAAATCGTTCTCATTTAATGACATTTAATCACAAAGAATAAGCGTTATCTAGTTAGAAAATTTTTGATACGAACACTTAAGATGGTCAAAAGTGCAAGTAATAAACGACAAACATTAATTATGGAAGTTTATTGGATATTATTACTTAATTATATACAAAAAATTGCAAGTCAACCTTCACCTTTTATAATGGAATTCTCTCTATAACGACCAAATTTTCTAGAATGATTCATAAAGTGGTGCTCAAAAATAATGCATCACTAAAACAAAAAGATAAATTAGTAAATTTTTATTAACATAAATGCCATAGATACATATATAGTCCGATATATAATTAAATCCTAAATAAACGGCATATTGATATGTAATTAACAGATAAATATAATACCACTTTACTTTAATTGGGCTTTATTTATGCCCAAACCAGTAATGTATTTTTTTTTGATTATTTTCTTCAAAATAAATATATAAACACATAAAAAACACATAACAAAATAATATACATATTCTATAAATAAAATATATTCACAAATACACTCTTTTATCTCATATTATTTAAATTATCATGGTACATATTCTCATCAAAAAAAGATATCAAATTTATACTCTTCTTAAAGAAAATATTCCTCTTGTTATATTGCAAACTGTAAAATCTATAATCATAAGAATAAAGCAAAAAAAAAGATATTCATTATATCTTTAAAGATTTGCCAGATTCAGATCATTCTAGAATTTTTACTGATCATGATAAATAAAATATTATATATTTAATTTTGAATAATAATTGTTCTACTGCAGTATTTATTCAAAAAAACTGAAATTTAAAGATAAAATTAAGATTAGCACAAGCGCAATAAAGTGAATTTTATATTATAATGATCTTTTTTTATAAATTAAGTTAAAGAAATCATATCTTAAAAAATATATCAAATTTAATATTTATCAATAATTAAAGCAAAGTTATCTGATTTAGTAAATTAAAATTTATGATTTTTACTTTAAATAAATATAAATATTATTAAAAATGTAATAATAAATCTCTAAAAAGAATATTATATGAAATATTTAGAGATAAAAATATAATAGTTTGAAATTACTTCAGATTTTTTGATATTAGCAATACTATATATATTTATAATTATATAAATAAGAAATTATATTATGAAATCTTAAATAATAATCTTTTAAAAATAATTTAGTGGTATAATATTAATAAAATAATATTATTTTTCAACAAATAATAATTCAAAACACATAATAATAATAATATTTATTTATTTGATTAGCTATTTCAGTTACCTAATCTTACCTAATCAAGCATCTTTAAAATAAAATAGATATTATTTGTAAAAATCATTCATTAGCATTCATACTCTGAACTAACAAAATATGATCTAAAAAGTCTGAATCAAAATGAATAGTATCTTTTTAACTAATCTAATTGAAAGTATGAAGAAACATATTTAAGATATTATTAATAAAAGAACAGATATACTAAATAATGAAGAATAATTAGTTAAAATTTGATGAATTTTTATTTATCCATGATTTGAAATTTGAAATTTTTATTTTGTAATCAAAACAGTAAAAAAACTGGATCATATAATTTAATGTAAAATAGAAGGATTTTTTAAATTAAAATGAAAATCAAAATTAATATGTAAATTTTCTTATCTTTGATGACCTAAATAAATCTAGTTATATATTGTTTAATATTGTGTAGGTGAAGTTATTGCATCATGAAATTTATCTTTCAAAGTGATGCATTATTTTTGAGTATATGTTGCTATAAGAAAGATGTTGTTATAAAGGGTTTGACTTATAATTGGTCCTGTCGCCAATATATGGAATATCAAGAAATTCATTATTAAAAGATTAAGTAATTAAATTTTTTGTCATATGAAGTAATGCAATTCAATAACTACATGTATTAGCTTTAGAGAATGTTAACAGACACATTGCATAAACAAATGGAATAATAATGTTACGTCGTTCAAAATTGTAAAGTTCCATTGTAAAACTTTATAAACATATGTACAACATATTGTTCTGTTTCTTTAACTGCGACCGGAAACCCGTAGTTTTCCGAACCTACTTGCCCGTGATCGTCCAGCGACACCTGACCGTAAATCAAGTAATAATAATAAAAATAACAAATCAATCGACATCCAAATTAGAACAATTAGTAAATTTGGACTTATTAATAATTTGAACTTATTAATAATTTGAACATTCCTTAATATTTTTTTAGTTTATTATTTTATTTTTCTATGATAATAACGAGTAGAACTGCACATTCAGTAATTAAACCACTTCGTAATACATGTAATAGCATAGTCCTTTGCCCAATGTCCAAAATATAGACAGAAACATAGATAAATACATTTACCAAATTATCGTTATATATATAGGCGTGTTCTTGAGCCTTTAATCAAGTCAACTATAATAAAGTTCAAAGTAATTGAAATAGCATTACCTCTTGCTTCGGGTTTTGTCGTTTTTACCAGAAGAAAGTCATTGTTGTTTTGTAGAATAGTCTAACCGTAAAGAGACTTTAATCAACGTTGTACCTCGTGATTCTGTCCCGTTTAATTTAAAGAAATCTATTGTTAAAAATAATAATCTCCTTTGTTAATCGTGTAATCCCTCTTTCCTCCTTCCAAATCATTCTTTATAATAACCAAACACTCGCCTTTAACATCAACAGTAACCGTAGTTAATGGCACAATACCTTTAGATACCCAGTTAAAGAGACCCTTTACATCGAAGAAACTTCAGTCCAATCTCCCACAACGTGTTAAATCTGTCCATCTTCGAAACCCAATACATTTGCATGTACAGTATATAGGTAAGGTGCAACAATATATTAATGTAAACAATAATTTCAATTTGCGTAACGATAAATGTATGTATCGAATATTCTGTTACTTCTGCATATTTAAAATAAAATATATCATTAAAAGTGAATAATTACGTGCTTGCTTCATATCTCGAAGAAATTTAATCCTCTAATCCACGTCTTCAAACTCTATACATTATGTCAAAGCGGGATCGTAAGTTGATACATGTATTATTCGTTATACAAAAAAAATCCTTAATGTCAAACACCAAAGGGGAAATCAATCACAAATTTCCTAATAAAGGCATTTATGCATTATAAAAGGCAATTGAACGACTGTTTGATTGTCGAGAGTTTTTTGTGATTGAAATTTATAATAAAAATATTTTTTTTTATTTAAACATACTTGATGGGGGCAAATATTTCTTCTGAAGCGGAAAATATCACTCCACCTACTTCTGAAAATATGCAAAAAGAATCCATTGATCAGCACCCACCAAATACACCAACCTCACCCACTAGTAGATCAATCGAGCTCAAGAATACTAATAATAAAGAAGAGAATACAAAATACGCAATTCCCCAAGACGTCAAACAAAAATCCAGTCAAGAGATTCTACACTATTTACTACGATACTTAGCACAAGGCATTTTTTTATCGCCCATTCAACAACAGCTTAAAGCTGAAGAGAATAATGATAATAATAGCCTACAAATTCTTGATTTCAATTGTGGTTCTATGGGAACATGGGCAAAAGAAATCGCGTTGGAATTTCCTCAGACACAGGTCATTGGTGTAGTTATTAAAGATGATGAGATTCCCTCTAAAAGCAGTGATGAGGAATCAACATTATCAAACTTGAAGTTTATAAAGCATAATTTATCGTCGTCTGGTGAGATGGAAAATCGTCGTCTTCCATTTGCGGATAGCACTTTTGATTTTGTGCATTCTCGATTTTTGTTAAGACAAATTAAGGAGGGTGATATTGAACATACGGTCATAACTGAGTTGGTGCGAGTAACGAAACCTTCTGGGTATATTGAACTTGTGGAATGCGATGTGAGACATTTTAGCGATGGACCATCTACCAGAAAACTGACTAATGCCAGTATGTATATTCCCATCTTTTGCTCTCTCTTCTCGCTATCATGATGATTCAGTGTTAAATTAACAAGTTATTTAGTGTTAGACTACCTGAATTTAAAAGGCCACAACGGTCAACTCAGTGAAAACCTCGCACGTTATCTTCATCAAACATCACAAGTAGGAGACATTACACAACATGATAAAGCCATTCCACTAGGTCATTGGGCTGGTCAAGTAGGCGAACTAGCCATACAATCTCTAACAGGGTTTTTTCGTGAAACGACCGGACTTCCGGCCTCAATGAAAATTTCTAGCGTTCAATTTCAAGAACTTTTGTCCGCATATAGACAGGAAGTGGAAATAAAACGTACTTTTGTTAAAGCACGGTGGTTGTATACACAGAAGTTGTCAAGTGGTAAATGACACCGTATTAAATTTGCCGTCAAAACTAAATAAATCTACAAATCGACTTTATTAAGATTACAACTTTGTTAAATCTAATCATGATTCCATCAACATTAAAAAAAATAGATCGTTTTTATTTTTTCTTTGTAATCAAAAATTCTAATTATGTGTACGCACAACATGAAGCAAATATAAAGAAATAGAAACCACCCATTTATAGTAACTTTCGCGATTGCGGGGGGTTTGTGATGTGGGAGAAGCAACCAATTCGGAGATGTTTTGCCTTTATTTACGTAAGGCGCTTGCATATATGTTTTGTCGCGTATTACATTATCATGATTGATGAGATTGATTTCTAGGTTTTTTATTTATCTATTCCAAGAAATATGATTTATACAGTGAGGATTAATATTAATTCTATTTTTATAATTTTTACAAATATTATAATAATGATTAGGATGATGTAAAAAGAAAAAATAATGTCTATCAACAAATCCCAAGCTATGTGTTATGACTTCTCAGACAATTTATTAAACTTTTGCCCAAAGAATCGATGGGTCCTAAAGAAAGTTTTACGTTCCTCAACTTCCTCTTTATATACTTCAATCAGATGCTGATACTCCTCCTCAGTGATACCCATCGATTGTGGCAGTTCATTAGTATCAAGGAAAAGAATCGATAAATCCTCAATGGCCAAATCGCCGACACGACCTGCCCAATGTCCAAGTGGGATGGCCTTATCGAATTGGTGGACTGTGCCAACGAGGTTGGTTTGTTTTAAGTAGCGTGGGAGGTTGTCGCTTATGCTTGGGTTATATCCTTTGGATTGTAGGTGTTTGCTCACTAAATTATGTTGTAAAAGTGGAATTTGTTTGTTAATTGATGTCAACTGCATTGCGTTAATTGATAAATCATTTAAATTGTTAAAAAAAAATACATACGAGCATTGGTTAGTCGTCGAATAACCGGACCTTCACTATAATGTTGTACATCGAATTCAAGCAGCTCAATCCACCCATCCGGTTTAGTAACTCGTACAAGTTCAGGAATCAACGTATTCTGATAATCTTCTTCCTTCACATCCGCCAATAAAAATCGCATATGCACAAGATCGAAAGTATTATCGTCAAACGGCAAGCGTTTTCTCTCTTGGAAATTATGTTCGATAAAGTTTACATTTGGCGTCGTCACGTCACTCGGGAAGAAGTTCGTAATATCCACCCCCGTCACCTCCGCCGATGGAAATTCTTTCGCTACTTCAATCGCCCATGTTCCCGCCCCGCAACCAAGATCGAGGACTCGTGCATGACCAGCATTGAGAGTTTCTTGAACAGGAGATTTAAAGTTCCCTTGGTATAGATAGCGCATTAGGTAGTGTTGTACTTCTAGACGAGGGATGCCTTCGAGATTGCGGGGAATGTCGAATTTTGGATTATCATCTCGGTGGGCGTGTGCATGACCGTTTACTTTTTCTTCAGCAGATTTTCTTCGTTCTGAATCTGATGATCTACGTGGAGACCCGGTTTTTAAAGCGGCGACTCCATCTAAGTCTAGTCGTGAAATGCGTGCACCCATTTGGAATTAATTTGTAAATAATAAGTTTCTTTGCGTAAATAAATAATCTTTAGGTGGGTAAACCTTTATTAGTTGTATATAACTTATGAAGAGATGTTCTTTTTTAAAAAAAAAACCAACTAGCAAATCTATCCTCTCCTTTTATACAAGTCTCGTCGAATATGAATTAATAAATTGTCATGCTATTTCTTTTGTTAGATTATTTAATATATTAATATATACATACAGTATTATAAATAAATTAAATTGTATTCCGGAAACACGGAAGTATGAGAACTTGAAAAAATTACAATTACGGTAATGAAGATGCCATTCCAAGCGTGGGGGCTGTTCCTTGCTTACAAAAAAATTATGACGAAACCGTAAACATAAAAATACAGAAACGGTAGTATATGCAGTATATGTATAAAATAAATTATGCAATAACGATAAATTATACAAGAACGATGGATTATCGTGATCCTTTTGATAAACGGATGATTGGTTCCAAACTAAAAAAAAACAGGCTGTTATTCAATTGAAACAACGGAAAAATGAGTAACACAATGATACAATGATGATTAACGTTAACAGATGATGTATAAGGATCATTGATAAGATTATCTCTCGTTGTGTATTAGATTATTAATTGTACGTTTTTCGTTACAACATAAAATTAGTGGACGAAAACAATTAGATGATTTTGCTTTTTGTTTATTCATGTAATAATTACTGTAAATGCATGATCTTTTTTTTAAATACACGTTTCGTGATTCTGGTATTGCAAAGATTTGCCAGTTTTTTGTGTGAAAATTCTGTATAGAAAAACGATTTTCAATGATGATTCTATACCACCACGCTATTTTTATTATTAATTGCCATTTTTCTTTCTTTTTTTTAGTCTATGCAAAATATGCAGCGTGATCATGATAAATGATAACTTAAATGTGAGAGTTAGGTTATACACATACTTTTTTATTATCGTTACTGTATTCAGAATATTAAATATACATAGGAAAAATTACATCATCATACAAGTATTAGAAATTTAAAGTAAATAAGGATTGAAACCTTTCAGATTTGGGGGCACAAATTTAACTTAAAGCTCTAATGAGGGAGGCAATATTCTATATTTCATTGGTTGGTATCGCAAATATTCAAAGAGAGAGGTTTCTTATTTTTTTCAAAATGAAAGGGTTCTCATTATCTGGGGTTTCTTATTTTCGGTCATAACGGGTATTATTATTAATGTTAATATTATATTATTAAATAAAAATACTAAAATAGAATAAAAATAAAATTTATTTCCGTTGCCCTCTTACTGACTCTGCAGAAATTTTCGGCGTTGGCTGCGGCTCATCACCATCAATTTTCTGTGTATAGAATCGATGTGTTTTGAAGAATGTTTTTTTGAGTTCCACTTCTTTTTTGTAGACCTCGAGAAACTCGCGGTATTCTTGTTCAGTGATGCCCATCGATTGTGGGAGTTCTTTTATGTCGCGAAACATGCGTGAGATGTCATCGATTGCTAGTTCACCTACTCGGCCGGCCCATCGTCCGAGTGCTATTGCTTTGTCGTGTTGGTTGATTGTGCCGACTTTGTGTGTGTTTCTTAGGTATTGTGGGAGATTGTCGCTTATGCGACCGTTATAACCATTTGATTTGAGATACTTCATTACTGGAAGCAAAAAACATTATCAATTAGATAATTTTCCAAAGGACTTTTTTTGATTTTTCATTGGTAATAATTTATCGGAATACTTACATGAACTAGTCAATTGGCGTGTGATAGGTCCTTCGCTAAATTGTTGCACATCAAATTCCAACAACTCTATCCATCCGTTAAGCTTAGTAACTCGTACGAGTTCAGGTATCAGAAAATTTTCAAAATCTTGTTCCTTTATATCCGCCAATAAAAATCTCATATGCACCAAATCAAAAGTATCGTCATCAAACGGCAACCGTTTATTCTCTTGGAAATTATGTTCAATAAATCGGACATTCGGCACATTTTCTTTGTCAAACTCAATGGGGAAAAACGATGATATATCAACACCAGTGACCTGGCACGACGGGAATTCTTTTGCGACGTCTATTGCCCATGTTCCTGCTCCACATCCTAAATCGAGAACTTGACTAACCGTGTTGTTGTCGCTAGGTTTAAGCAATGGGTCTTGCGGCGATGAAAAGTTGTTTTGGTATAGGTATCGCATCAAGTAATGTTGAACTTCTAAACGCGAGATTCCGCGTGTGTTTTCAGGAATTGCGAATTTCGGATTATCTTTTCTGTATGCGTGATCGCATCCGTTTACTTTTTCTTCGCAAGATTTTCTACGAGAAGAGTCGTATGATTTGTGTGATGAACGATTAGATTGAAATGATTTTTTTCGTGAAAGTGCGCGTTCTTGTCTTGAAAGGCTTGAACCCATTTCTTTTAGAAAGATGTTTGCAAAATGATAAGAGGTAGGGAGAAAGACCTTTTTATTGTGATTATAATGTTTAAATAAATCGAAATTTCTTTGCTTACTTTAAGCTGTTAATGAATTTGAAAAAACGCGACAGCTTATCATTTTTATACTATTTCTTTCGTTTCGTACTCCTCGAATCATACATTTAATCGCAAATAACCCTCATACACTGCCCCATCGCTACATTTGATGATTTTACCGATTCCAAGACTATTTTTTTTCTCACGAAACTAATGCAAACAATGATCGCTGTTACTGCGTTCATGCCTTCCAATGGAATACAGAACAACCAAAACAATATCTTTTGTTCATTCGTAAAATGTGGGGTAATTGCATAAGCTAAAAAAACCTGTTTCTTTGCAAAGAATGCAAAGTTTCATGTTATTGTTTGTATGTAAACCATGATTATCTTATCTTGATTTTGATTTGTATTTTTCGCGCGTACACACACACAAAAGAAGTTGGCTAAATTTTTGTCCAACCTTACGACATGTTTTTAAGAATTTGTTATTTGTAAGGAAGCATGTTTAGCTCCGAGTTTTTTATGTGCTATGCCTCGTTTTTTCTATTGCATTTTTTTTCGCACACTAAACGCTGACCTGTTTGCAGAAAACACAATTACAACAAAGAAGTGTCGGGGGTATATTTATTTTTACGCTTGTATAAACTAATAAAATATAAATTTTTATATACGAAACACAATAAAACAATCAGTAAAGTTCTAGGTTTATGGTATTGTAGATTACACCAGATGTTTATGCAGTCCTCAGCAAAAGTACCAAATTTATTCTCCAAATAAAGATACACGTTTTGCGAATAATTTTTCTATTGATTAAAATTTCATTTTTGCGTTTTATGACGAAAAAAGGATTTCTAAAACCCGTCTGTTCTATAATTTACTTGGATTCAAATAATAATGACCTTACTGATTCGTAGCATACAAATTTTCTCATAAATGAATCTTTAAATAAATGATATCATTGTGACCTGATTACGGTATAGAATTTTCCTACAAATTGATTTATTCTGGATAATCTTTTATAGAAGTCCATTTTTTCTGTTACGTGTATGCAGAAAAACTTTTTCACCGTGAAAAAAAAGGCACCAAATAGATCTTCGTTGAAAAACAAAGATTCCAGATGTCTTTGATGCACATGAAAATAAATCATTGCATATCTTTTTGTAATAAATATATCCATGAATGTGAATTGTTTTTATTTGTGCAAATTCACATTATTCTTGAGTTTGAACACTATTTACAAACCGCACGGAATATAATGGCGTTAGTTTTTTAAGACAAAAAAATTATTATTAGAACGCCTTTAAGTAGGGCATCATGCTCTAAAAATATCACACATGATAAATTTTCCTTCCATTTGAATGCAATTTAGCATGCTAAAAAATCATAAGAACTATTACATGTACTAATAATGTTATTTGAATTTTTCATTTTTATTTATAAACTAATAAATATTGTTTATTATATGATTTTTATTGTTTTCAATTACCATTTTTTTTTGTTGCATAACGTTAAAAATATGTTCGTTTCTTATTTGGCTTTGCAGTGTTTACATTACTAGATCCAAAGTGAAATATCTTTATTTGGTAGAAGTTAACTCTGATCAGTGTCTACATGAATCAGCAATTTTTTTTTGGAATGATTCAGTGAACGATTTCTAAGCGTGAGCATAATGATTCTTGCTCTCTAATACAGTTGAATTTTTAAAAATAGATTCAGGATTTCTATGCGACTAGAACAATTAAACATCCAGTTACAAATAATTGTTGATTTATGCATCATCATTATCGTTATTCACGCGCATCGTGATTTTCACCTTTGCCTGGCGATTTGAAAAAGCTATTCAAGAAATTTATGAAGTACTGTACTGTACTTCCTTATACACGTACATAAAATTAGCCCAAAAATGCTAAACAGGAAAGCCACAACATATTTATAGTTTTGAGATGGTTATGTAGATACGAAATTGTAACTTGAGGAAAAATAAGGAATCATGAAATCCCATCCAAATTTTACACTAATAAATGGTACATTTAATTCTAAATAAAGTTATATTATAATTTCCAACTAATCAATACGTTAAAGATACATATTTTTATATGAATAAACAAATAAATACGATACATGTATAATTTATTTATTTGGTTTTTAAAACATAAATCTAAAGAATTAACGAAGATGAAACAGAACTTTTTATTATATGCTATCAATTGCATTCCTGTTAGCTTACTGAATATACCGGACAGAAGCGAATTAATGCTCTTCTGAAGAACCCAATAATTGCTAAATAAGATATGAACACGATAAATAAGAAAATTTTGCTTTTCGAAATATCGATATGTTACATTCTCCTGATCATCAGCAATATCACTTCACATTATGAACGTAAAAACATACACAACTCCCCTGCAGCCCATAGTAAATAGAAGATTCAAAGTCAGTAATAAATTACCTCTACAAGACATCATGAAACTTGTAAATGTGTCAAAACTGATATTTTGCAAACAACTGACTTATGCGTGGGATGAAGTAGCACCAGATATCAAAAAATTAATCGATCACTATATCAAGATATGCGACATCCCGTAATCAAGTTCGATCAAGAATACTACCATCTGATTCGTCTCGATAGATGAATAGAGTGGTAGCATTTTTGTTCGAATCGTATTATTGAATGTCAAGAATCGGATCACTGGACATCAAGATATGCGTCATAAAGTGGCCGATTGTATTTGAGGCGTGGAAGCAGCCTGGAAGTATGCCAGCATTGTTCTCTGTGCTTAAAAAAATTTTGGCACATTACATATGATTCATGGAAAGTGGGGAGAGGATTAGGATGTTTTTTCAGTTTACCATACTATCGATAAATAGTATAAATTTATTCCAGATCATTTTACTAGGCCACAATAACCCATTCATCAAAAGATCATTTGGCTCATATTTTCTTTTTAATTCCTTCATCCGTTGCAAATTCTCATGGCTATAAATAGTTAAATTACATATTCATATTAAGCGATTATGAAGATTGATAAATTTAAGACTATTAATAACAATACTTTATATCAACACTTGTCCTGAGCCATTCCTTACATGTTCAACAACTCTTTCTAATTTCTTTAAACTTTATTTTTTGGACATGCGTTTTAAAACGAATAATATGCCATGCCACATCAAAACTACGCATTACCCAATGAATCTGGATTTGCATGTTCACTGAACCGTCCGTGAGTACTATCTTTGCGCTTACGTGACGAGATTATCAATCATAAGACCATAGCGACCTAATAAAAAGTTTGTGACATTTATTTTGTTTAATTGATTATTATTCATTCACCAATCATATATCCAAAAAAGACCATCAAAACGAACTACCAATCCTAGTATTTTCAACTGTTTTACAGGCACAAGCAAATCTCGGTGACGTTAAACATTCCAGATAATTCATATGCCCAACAAATGAAATCCCGAATGAGTAGCATCCCGGATAAACGAAATCTCTGAATGAACGAACGAACTGCAATCTGAATGCACGATATCGTGAGTTTGGCATGCGCGTTTGGATGTTATTCTTACGAGATTTCGTGCATTCGGGATGCTGTTCATTCGGGGATGCCGCTCATTCGGGATTTCGTTTTGTCGGGCTTATGATTCTCGGGATTGTGTTTGTCGAGATGTCGTATTGTATCCCGCTGACATTAAAAATGAACTACTTTAATTTCATAATTCACGCGTTGCCAAACATGAACGTATGTTTTCTTTCTCTTTTTCCGACGCCTCTTGAATTTTATTCGGGTAACTTAAAAGTTGTACTTCAATTATAAGTGAAAGAAACATGATTAATTTAAAGGATGAAAGCCAAAGTAATAATATCTTTTTATTAGCTATAACTTCTATTGCAATCAATGCCGCAACAGCTACTTTAAGTTCTCCAGTATATACAATATCCTTACAAAAACAGAATCACCAATGGAAACAAAAAATCGGTCTTCAAAAAACAGTGTACTTTCAAAATTCTCTAGAAAAGTGAATAAATTAAATAGTGTTTACCGTGACTTTTCCAAGAATTTAATGATAGAGGTTATTATGGGCCAATTTTAATTGGTAGACAAAATTCAAGGTACTATTCGATACTGGAAGCTCAACCTTTGGGTACCTTTGACGACCAATCAAAGTCTTTCCTGTAAAAATCATACATTATTGATCCTGCTAAAAAGCCGAACTTTCAAAAATCTCGGAGAAGTCGCAACTGATGATATTTCAATTGCTAGTACAGTTGGCGTCATAAAGATCCGGAAGTTTTAAATTTGAATATCAGTTATTTGATAAAGAATGAATATAATTACATGAAAATTTGCAAATATATACTTTTTGATATGAAGAACAAAATTACTTAAGACATACAGTGGCAATCAAAAATAATGCAACGCTTAAATTTTTTACTAATTATAATTAGTAAAAAATTTAAGCGTTGCATTATTTTTGATTGCCACTGTATTGGTAAAATACATATTAAAAATATCATTAAATTATAAAAAACTAAAAACAATTATAACTTTATATCTTTATTGATTATTCAACGAAAAAATGTCAGAATTATGCTAAATATATACTTTGTAATATAATGATCAACTTCATCTATAATAAAATAATAGGTAATAGCATTTTTAATAATATAAGCTCAATCTTTGTTGAATCTGACTTATTTTTTTTACAATAAATTTTATGAGGAAAAGTGTAAAAATACATGTAATTAATAATTTTTGAGCAAACTTGATTTACAGATTACAAAGAAGATATGCCTAAATTATCAGACAATTTTTACAATTTTTCATTATTCTATGCACTATATAAAAATTCCGAATCTTATAACGCCAACTGTACAATAACTAAAAATCAAACGCTTGGATTGGCAGATCGGCACCAGTATTTATCACCGAGAAAT